TTGGAGGAAATATTTTAATATTGCTATTTGCCCTTTCTCTATACTAGAAGATTTTCTTTCAGAGATGAAAGAAAATCTGTAGAATATATATGAAACTCTCTCCTGCCAGAGTCTAGTGCCTCCTTGGCCACCTATGTGTGTATGAGAATCATGTGAGACCCAAACCTGGCCAGCCTCACTCCTGTCAAGCCCCTCAGGATGGGAGGCGCAGCCTCAGTTCCCTTGTCAAGCTCCTTCAGCTGGGGGGCACAGCCTCAGTTACCCAGGCCCCAGCATGAGGGCTCGAGGGCATGATGACCATTTGTATATTAGCTCTTTATTATATAGGATATGGTAGGTAGTCTCAAAAACTACAAAGGTATGATAAATTTTTACAGGCTATACTGGATTGACTTTCTTGGGTACTTAATGATAGTAGAACATTTTTTTTTATAATATATTTTATTGATTATTTACAGAGAGGAAGAGAGAGAGATAGAGAGTTAGAAACATCGATGAGAGAGAATCATCGATCAGCTGCCTTTTGCACACCCCCTACTTGGGATGTGCCTGCAACCAAGGTACATGCCCTTGACCGGAACCAAACCTGGGACCCTTCAGTCGGCAGGCTGACACTCTATCCACTGAGCCAAACCAGTTTTGGCGATAGTAGAACATTTTTCATACCTTTGCTTATTGAAGAGCTAGAGTCTTGGTGCACAAAATTCATGCATGGGTAGGGTCCCTTGGCCTAACTGGCGATCAGGGCTGATTAGGGCTTTCCTTTGTTCTGCATCACCTCCTGGTGGTCAGTGCACAGGGACAATTTGCATAATAGCCTTTTACTATATAGGAATAGAGGCCCGATGTGTGAAAATTCATGCACTGAAGGGGGGTAGTCCCTCAGCCCAGCCTGCTTCCTCTCTCAATCCGGGAACCCTCAGAGGTGGGAGGTGACCCGCTCAGGGGAAGCTGATGCCCTGGATGCCGCCATCTTGTGGATGTGGGCACTGCCATCATTGAGGTTGTGATAGTCAATTAGCAGATTCCTTCCTTATTGGCTGTGCGCGCCATCATTGTTAAGGGCAGGGCAGTCAATGAACATATCCCCTCACTTTTACCTGTGGGCATTACCGTATTAGCTATGGGCAGGGCAGTCAGCATATTCCCTCCTTATTAGCTGTGGGCGCTGCCATATTTAAGGGTGGGTCAATTAGCAAATTCCCCCCTTATTGGAGGGTGGGTCAGACAAATAGCATATTCCCTCCTTATTGGCTGTGGGCACTGCCATCTTTGCATATTAGCATATATTCCCTCTTTATTAGTTAGAATTTCTCTTAGAAATATAAGTTGATTTCATATTTTAGATTTCTTCCACTAAAGTAATTGTGTGATAGCTTTGTGGCTCTCAATGTTGGTTGCACAATGGAGTCATCTAGGGAGGTTAAAAAAATTACTGATGTCTGGTCCACTTGCTAAGACATTTTCATTTATTATTTATTTAAAAAAATATATTTTACTGATTTTTTACAGAGAGGAAGAGAGAGGGATAGAGAGTTAGAAACATCGATGAGAGAGAAACATCGACCAGCTGCCTCCTGCACACCCCTTATTGGGGATGTGCCCACAACCAAGGTACATGCCCTTGACCAGAATCAAACCTGGGACCTTTCAGTCCACAGGCTGATGCTCCATCCACTGAGCCAAACTGGTTTCGACTATTATTTTTTTTAAAAAAATATTTTTATTGATTTCAGAGAGAAAGGGAGAGGAAGAGAGAGATGGAACATCAGTGATGAGAGAGAATCATTGATTGGCTGCCCCCTGCACACCTCACACTGGGATTAAGCCCGCAACCTGGGTGTGTGCCTCTCTAGAATCGAACTTGGGACTCTTTGGTATGCAGGCCGATGCTCTATCCATTGAGCCAAACCGATGAGGAAAGACATTTCCATTTATTTATTTATTTTTTAAAATCTTTATTGTTCATGTTATTACAAATGTTCCTCATTTCCCCCCCCTCCATTGCTCCCCTTCACCAGGTCCCCACCAAACCCTCTGCCCTTTCTGTACCCCCCATTGTCCTCATCTTTAGGTGCACAGTTTATGTTCAGTCTTTTCCCACATCCCCCTCTTCCCCGAGAATCATCAGTTCATATCACTTCCCTACCTCTGATTTTATTATATTCACCAGTTAATATTGTTCATCAAATTTTTTTAATTCCTTTGTTTTTTAGATTCACTTGTTGATAGTTACGTATTTGTTGTTCATAATTTTTATCTTTATTTTCTTCCTCTTCCTAAAGAACTCCTTCAGCAATTCATATAATTCTGGTTTGGCAGTGAACTCCTTTAGCTTTTTTTGTGAAGCTCTTTATCTCGCCTTCGATTCTGAGTGATAGCTTTGCTGGGTAGAGTATTTTTGGCTGTAGGTTCTTCTATTCATCACCTTGAATATTTCTTGCCATTCCCGTCTGGCCTGCATGGTTTCTGTTGAGAAATCAGCTGACAATCGTATGGGTGCTCCTTTATAGGTAACTATCTGCTTTTCTCTTGCTGCTTTTAATATTCTCTTTTTGTCTTTTGCTCTTGGAATTTTAATTATGATGTGGTCCTTTTTGGATTCCTTTTGTTTGGGGTTCTGATCGCCTTCTGGACTTGTAAGTCTATTTCTAGTTTTCTGTCACTATTTCTTCCAGTATGTTTTCAATATCTTGCTCTCTCTCATCTTCTGGGAAGCCCGTAATTCTGAAGTTAGTTTGCTTAAAGTTGTCCCAGAGGTTTTTTACACTATCTTCAACTTTCTGGATTCTCTTGCTTCTGTGGAGGAGTGTTTTCTGGCTCTTTATGTTCCAAATCTTTGACTTGATTCTTGCGATCTTCCACTCTGTTTTTAGGACTCTGTATAATATTTTTTATTTCAGACAGTGTATTCTTTATTTCTAGTTGAATCCTTTTCATATCCTCATAGGTCTCGTTTATTTTATCGGCCTTTTGTATGAAATTCTTGAAAAGCCTTATAAGCATGGTTTTGAACTCTATATCCAGTCTCTTCTTGTCCTCCATTTCTTTTGTTTGTGATCTTTTCCTTGTCTTGGCATTTTCCCTGCTTCCCTGAGTTGGTAGGGTGGCTTAGTGTGCTAAGGTGTTCTATGTGGTTCAGTTGGTTAGCCTCCCAGTTACCTGAGGTGGACACTCTTGGTGCACCCCTTTGTGGACTGTCTGTACAGTCTTGATTGTTGTTAATATCAGTGGGAGGAACTGACCTCCAGGCCAATTGGCTGTGAGGATCAGCTGTGTCTATGCCAGGAGACTAGACTTGGAAAAATGCCAAAGCCTCTGTGCTCAGTTTGGATGAGGTGGAGTTTCAGGGTGGAGCCAACAGCCTTGGCTTCAGTCAGCCCTGCCCTATGAGGTTTCGCAGTCTCAGTGTTCCTCAGTGTCCTTGAGTACTTGCTGCAAGCACCTCTGAAAGAAAGGCACCTTCAAGTTTCACCTGCTAGCAGACGTCTCTCCCACAAAGAGCCTGGAACTGGGGTTCAGTGCTGTTGGAAGTGGGGTTCAGAGCAGTCTAGAGCTTTTATCTCCTTCCCGCTAGGGCAATACAGCAGCACAGTCAATAGTCTGTCCTCTGCGCGCATCGCGCTCGCCTCTGGGATTGCCTTTCACCGCTCCCCTGTTTCTGCCTTACAACCCAGATTCCCTCTGTATGAGCCTGGGTCCCCAGGGTCTGGCCTAGAACTGGGGTTCAGTGCAGTCGGAATTGGGGCTCAGCACAATCCGAAGCTTTTGTCTCCTTCCTGCTAGGGCAGTCTAGCAGCAGAGTCAACAGTCCGTCCTCTGCGCGCAATGTGCGCGCCTCCTGGACTGCCTTTGGCTGCTCCGCCTTACAGCCTGATTCCCTCTGTATGAGCCTGGGTCCCCAAGGTCTCGCCCAGAACTGGGGTTCAGCACAGTTTGGAGCTTTTATATCCTTCTTGCTAGGGAATGCCAGCCAGGCACTTAGCCACCCCTCCTCTTCGGCTCCGTCCTCTCCCCATGCACACAGTGTCTCCATACCTTAGGCGTTTACAGCTCCTCTGATTTTCCTTCTGGTTTTCTCTTTCCTTCTAGTTGTAGAATTTCCAGTCAGTCAACTTTCCTGTAGTTCTGGATAATGTCCAATTTGTATTTTAGTTGTATTTTTTAAAAAATATATTTTATTGATTTCTTACAGAGAGGAAGGGAGAGAGATAGAGAGTTAGATACATTGATGAGAGAGAAACATCGACCAGCTGCCTCTTGCACATCCCCTACCGGGGATGTGCCCGCAACTGATGTACATGCCCTAGACAGGAAACGAACCTGGGACCTTTCAGGCCGAAGACCGACGCTCTACCACTGAGCCAAACCGGTTTTGGCAGTTGTATTTTTTTTAAATTGTTGTGTGAGGCTGCAGTTAGGCGTCTACCTATGCCGCCATCTTGGTTTCTCTCTCGTTTTCGACATTTTCCTTTAATTGGCCTGTGGTTAAAAGGTATTTTAGTAATTCTAATTTGCAGTCAGTAGTGGTTGACAATTGCGTAACTATTTGAAATAATTTTAGTCACATTTGATATTCTTTAAGATAGCTGTTATCTCATTGTGTATATATACTAATAAAAGAGAAAGATGCAAATTGACTGTACCTGCAATGCCCACGAGCCAGTCAGTATATATAGCTATCATTTATCCTGTTTTTAGTATGTTTTAGTCCTATGTTAAAAACATCTATTTTAATTTCCGAAGAAAAGGATGAATTTTATTCTCTTTATACAAATGAGGTATATTAATTTTATTAATTATATAGCTTATAATCTTTGATTATAAGGTTATATAATAAAGACATAAATGAGAATAAATCACTATGAATTTTGCATGAATATGAATAAATTATTATGTATATTGCCAGTAATAGAGATTCTGTATGGTCATTGGTAAAAAGATACAGAAGGCAAGCTAAAATATAAATGGGTATTTAATGGGTAATCAATATTTTATAGATTTAATGAGGCGTCAAGAAGAACTCAGACGCCTGGAAGAACTCAGAAACCAAGAGCTGCAAAAACGGAAGCAGATACAACTGAGGTAAAAACAAAAAACCAAATACCTTGTAACATAGATGTGAATACACATAGTTTTTGTGTGTTACTAATAGAACATCACTCTCCCATTGTAAACAAATTGTACAAGTTGGAAAATATAAACAAAATTGTTCATTTTTGCCTATACTTAGGGATTTATTCCACAAAGTAGCGTATTTATTTTGTTATTCTTAGGATTTTTTTTAGCTGGTTTTTGACAGTTCGATGGCATACCCTGTGACTTTACATACGGGGCCTAAGCATTATTGCATACAATTTATTGTAAGAATGCACTGTGGTTTACTGCTTTTTTTTTTTTTTTTAGTGTTAATTTTTTGCCCGTGTATGATACTGCTATGAAATCCTCAATGCATCTTTGGGCTTCTGAAATACCTTTTCATGTATCTGTATTATTTAATTGTGAAATATGAGGTAAATGTTATTCTTAAAAGTTAAAAATCATAACAATTAGGAAATGTTCTGAACAAAGCTATGATAGATTAAAGAAAACTTAAAATTTTGTTCCTGATAGTATTTTAAAAGTGTAGTAAGTTCTTATATAGGAAGTAAGGTGCTCATGGGAAATAAAAAATAAAGAAGAAAGTAAAAAACCTTGAATGAATGTGAAGTGTCTTCATAGTCTGGGAATAGATAGTATTCAGTATTTTTTAGTTTATTTTTTCCAACTTTGTACCTGGTTTGTATATATGTTTAAATCTTGGAACTACTCTGATTGTACTCTAACCTACTTATTCTCAAACTACTGTGTTTCCCCTAAAATAAGACATCCTCCGAAAATAAGACCTACTTACAGGTTTCCTTATGAGTGAGATATAAGGCATCCCCCCAAAAATAAGCCCCCCCCCCAGGCTAAACATGAGAGATTTGGTCCACTGATTCTGAAAGAAATGGAGTCACAAGAAATTCACCAGGAAATTCAGGAATTGGATTGTTACGATGATGTTCCAGAAGACGATGACATGATTGTCATTGAACAAATGAGTAAATTCTTGATACTGTAGAATTCACAGTTTGCCTTGTTTGTGTTGACAACTACCGTACTACCGTATCGTATACAGGTAATAAATTTCCTTTATTTTCATTTAACAATAAATGTGTACCGTATTCTTCTTCATGGAAAAATAAGACATCCCCTGAAAATAAGACCTAGCGCATCTTGGGAGCAAAAATTAATATAAGACACTGTCTTATTTTCGGGGAAACAGGGTAGAGGCCTGATGTGTGAAGATTCGTGCATGAATGGGCCTTACTTCTCCTGGCTGCCGGCAAGAGCAGCCTTTCTGCTCTGGCCTGGAGCTGCCTTTGTGCCTTCCCATGTTGCCCAGAGTCCTGGAGCTGCTGGGGTCTTGTGGAATGCTTGCATTGGAGCCTGTGTATGCAAATTAACTTACCATCTTTGTTGGGTTAATTTGCATATCTACTCCAGATTTGCTGGTGGGTATCACGAAGATACAGTCAATTAACATGTTATTCTTTTAATAGGTAAGTTGTAGTACTTGATCAGGCCACACCAGTGTTCTAACTGGAGAAATGGTTAGTAAGTCTCAAACCTCTCCTCATAAAGTATAGGGACAGAGTTTAATAAATTCTCTACATAATTCTGAGATTCCCTAAAGCTTCAGAGCCGTTATTGTCCCGACATGAGAGACCTTTTTTCTGGCTCTTTCTTGTATCTTTTTTTCTTTTTGTGAGAATGTGTTAAAGTCTCTTCTACTTTTACAAAGAAAAAGAATACTCCCCTTTTATAAAAAAAACCCCTATCTGAATTCAGCTTTCACTTACAGTAGATACAGTGGAACCTTCATTCCAGCAGATAAGGGATATGTTTGAAAACTGAAATAATTTTTTCCGATTAGAAATAGCATGAATTGTATTAACTTGTTTTAGACTTCAAATGATTCTGTTTAAATATTTCTATGTACAGTATGTCTATGTACAGTACTGTTTATAAACAAACATTTTCTTAAATTTATTGAACTACACTTCACTTGCCTTAAACAAATCATTTTCAACACTGGTTCCAGGGGTCAGTATGAGGCATCTTCGCTTTTTCACATGTCATTACCTCTGAAATGATGTCACTTATTCCAAGTCAACAGTTCTTTTAACCTTTTTAGTTGCTTGTGATCATTCTTTCACACCCTTAGCAACATTAGCACTCTTTTTTTTTTTTTATTGCTTTTTAGAATATTGATGTGATGGGAGAGTAAGTCATAAATTGGCTGTCTCCTGCAAGCCCCAAGTCTACAACCTGGGCATGTACCCTGACTGGAATGAAACTAGCAACCTGTTGGTGCAGTGGGTGATGCCAGTCCTAATGAGTCACACTGGCCAGGGCAACATTAATACCCCCTCTTCTTCTTCTTCTTCTTCTTCTTCTTTTTTTTTGTTAATATTCACGAGACCAGTGGTTGGTGAACTCATTAGTTAACAGAGCCAAATTTCAATAGTACAACGATTGAAATTTCTTTTGAGAGCCAACTTTTTAAACTTAAACTTCTAACGTCACTTCTTCAAAATAGACTTGCCCAGGCTGTGTTATTTTGCGAAAGAACATACTCAAGGGGCCAAAGAGCTGCATGTGGCTCGCGAGCCGCAGTTTGCCGGCCAGGGCAATAGAGGATATTTTTTTTCACTGATTTTTTTAAGAGAGGGCAGGGAGGAAGGAAGGAGAGACAGAGAAACATCGATGTGAGAGAGAGACGTCTATTGGTTGCCTCTCTAAATTGGGCTGGGGATTGAACCTGCAACCCAAATAAGTGCCCTTGGATTGGAATTGAACCCATTACCCTCCTGTGCTCAGGCTGATGCTCTAACCACTAATTAACACTGGTCAGAGCAATATTAGCATTATTGATAACCTCCTTCTGTTTTAAAATTGTGCTAATCTGTTTATTTGGCCAGTAAGAAAAGCAAAAAACAAAACAAAAAAACCTCCAAGCGAACAAAAATTAAAACCCCCCAAAATATTCACATCACAATTTCCGGAGATGTTAACAAGGAGATGTTTAGCTGTAAACCAAGTCACCTAGGCACATTCTCTCCTTTGTTTTTGCTTTGTCATCCTAATGAACCAGCATGAAAGGGGTGGCAGTATACCAAAGTTAACAAAAGACATTTTGACAGTTTTTTTTCCCCCATGAACAACTTGGTCAAGAACCAGATTGTTTGAGAGATGGGAGAAGTTCAAGAAACACAATATGTATGACTGTTTGACAGCTAGGATATTTATTTATTTAAAATGTATTTTTATTGATTTTGGAGAGGAAGGGAGAGGGAGAGATAGAAACATCAGTGATGAGAGAGGATCATTGATTGGCTGCCTCCTGCCTGTCTCCCACTGGGGATCGAACCTACAACCCAGGCATGTGCCTGACGAATCAAACCTGGGACCCTTCAGTCCGCAGGCTAACACTCTATCCACTGAGCCAAATGAGCTAATTTAAACTCATCTAATATGACCATAGTAGTAGTTTTTCTTTTCTTTTTTTAATTTAATTTTCAATTACTGTTTACATTCAATATTATTAGATTAATTTCAGATGAACAGCAATAATGGTTAGATCTAACAATCAAATGCTTTACAAAGAGTTCCCCTTATATTTCAGTATCCACCTGGTACTACAATATAATAGTTATTGCAGTACTATTAACTATATTCCTTATGCTGTATTATACATCCCTATGACTATTTTTATTTTATCATTTTTTTAAACTAGAGGCCCAGTGCACGAAATTTGTGCACTGGGGGGTGGGGGGGTAACTCTTGGCCCAACCTGCACCATCTCCAATCTGGGACCCCTTGGGGGATTGAGCCTAAACAGACTGTCACAATTCAGGACTGCTGGCTCCCAACTGCTCGCCTGCCTGCCTGATTGCCGCTAACCGCTTCTGCCTACTAGTCTGATTATCGCCTGATCAAATCCTAACTGCTCCCTTGCCAGCCTGATAGTCTTCAACTGCCTTCCCCTGACAGCCCCAAATGCCCTCCCCTGCGTATTCCCTCTTTATTAGATAGGGTTTTTTTCTTTAACATATTGGACAGCCCTAACTGGTTTGGCTCAGTGGATGGAGTATCAGCCTGCAGACTCCGTGCATGAAAGGGTCCCAGGTTCGATTCTGGTCAAGGGTATGTACCTGGGTTGGGGGCACATACCCAGTGGGGAGTGTGCAGGAGGCATCTGATTGATGTTTCTCTCTCATAGATGTTTCTAGCTCTCTATTCCTTTCCCTTCCTCTCTGTAAAAAAATCAATAAAGTATATTTTAACTAAAATAAACATTTAAGATTCCTCCATATCTGCCTGGCTGTTGTCACTCAGTGGTTGAGACCTCAGGCTGCAGCTGGGAGGGGATTGGCTCTGTGGGGGTGCATGCCCCTCCTAGACTGAAACCCCCAGCGGGGCTGAGAGGACAGGGAACCACCATCTTGTGGCTATGGGCGCAACCATTTTTGTCGTAGAGTAGTCATCAATTTGCATATTATTTTATTAGAGAGGATCTTCCCCCAAGGACATGCCTTTCATTGATTTGTACAGGGAGAAGGGAGAGAGAGGAACAAATTAGTTACCTTCTATATGTGTTCCACATGGAGTTCGAACCCCAAACCTGGATTGTGCTATGACTGGGAATCAAATCTGTGACCCTTTTGTGCATGGATGATGCTCCACCAACTGAGCAACACTGGCCAGGGCCCCATGACTATTTTGTAACTACCAATTTGTACTTATTAATCCATTCACCTTTTTCACCCCACTATCTCTTCCTTCTGACAATTATTAGTCTATTCTATGAATCTATGAATCTGTTTCAATTTTGTTTGTTTATTTTGTTCTTTAGCTTCCACATATAAATGAACTCATACTGTATTTGTTTTTCTCTAACTTATTCACTTAGCATAATACCCTCCAGGCCTTGCCGTGCTTGACAACTAGACTTTTCAAATTAGTACCCTACCCTTCAAGTGTTGAAAAAAATAAGTAAT